TTTTTTAAATAATAAAATCATTTAGTTTTTTTACATTTATTTTCATGTAGTGTCGAGTTATACCTTGTCCTTTGCCAAAGTTATAATCAAAATCGATTGATTGACTAAATTGTTCACACCGGATGCCAAACCCATATTATTAATTATGCATATTACTTATTATTGATGACGTGGTGGCTTCATTGGAATTTAGTCAGAACGATATCCAGTTGTTACAAAAGAAACTCGACGAAACAACACATGAGTTAAGAAAGGTCAATTATCGTAATGACGAACTTGATAACTATATTAGACGTGAAAACTTACGATTTTATGGAATAGGTGAGCAACCAGGTGAGGATACAGAAATGGTACTAAGGAAATTTATACGTGACGAGCTAAAAATACCTGAGCCAGACGCCATGGCAATTGAATTTCAACGGGTTCATCGGCTACATGGCCAACGCAGTAGAGATAGACCGAGAGGAATAATTGCACGATTTGTTAGATATAAAGATCGCGAGAAAGTTAGAAAATCAGCGGGAAATCTGAAGGATACTGCGTATTCGGTAAGAGAAGACTACAGCCAGGGAGTTTTACAAAAACGACGTGAATTGATGCCATTGCTTAAACAAGCCCGTCGTGATATTAAAAGAGCATTTCTCGTCGCCGAAAAATTGTATATCGATGGTAATATTTATAACAAAGTACAAAATGTAAGGAATAAAGAAACTGATGAGAACGATGACTAGAACGTAAGGGGGACTCATACGTACGTACATAACGATTTTGAATTACGAATCGGGTATTGGAATGTACATGGGCTGGGTGATAAAACTCAGGATGACGAGTTTTTAAGTTGTATAGCTGCATATGATTGTTTATGTTTAAGTGAAACTTAGCTACCTAGAGAAAAGCAGGTCGATATAAATGGGTACGTGATCTACACTTTTCATTGGAGTAGGAAACACAAAAGGGCTAGGAGGGAAGCGGGAGGTTTTCTCATTTTGATTCGATTAGAGTTTGCAAATCTAATGGAATTAGTGGAAAGTAACGATGATTTAATTTGGTTTAGAATTTCGGC